TCTTGTGGACAAATACGGGTATAACATCGCCTATTAAATCATTCCGCTCTCTGGCTCCATCCATTTACTCTTGCAGTGCAGGGAGGCATTATTGTATTCTAATTCCTGGGGGTGGGCTTTAACATAGAAAAAACTGACTCTCTTCGAGTTATTTTAAATAAAATATGCATTTTACAAATAATACATCTTTGACCACTAGGGGGCATAAATAGGAGTGTGAATTTGCACCAGTTATTTACAAATGATTTTGTATAGTTTATAGAATTTAAGAGGGAATTAAGCACTTATTTTGTATTTTTCACAATATTATTGATATTACAGCCAAACCCAACCACAGGATGGAGACAGAGAGTAGAATGATTTCCCTCTGGCGCCATCTTGTGAACAAATACAGGTATTACATCGCCCTTTGAAAAGCCGTTCCGCTCTCTGTCTCCATCCTGTGGTGAGGTTTGGCTATGACATCTCCTATTATTCAATCCTTTATCTGTTGCCATCTTGTGGACAAATACAGGTACAACATCGCCTATTAAGTCATTCAGCTCTCTCTCTCAGTCCATTTACTCTTGCAGTGCAGGGAGGCGTTATTGTATTTTAATTCCTGGGGGTGGGCTTTAACATAGAAAAAAAAACTCATTCATATCTTTACAGTTATTTAAAAAAAAACAAAAAAACAACTACTATTATTTGTAAAATAAATATTTTATTTGATGTATGACATCGCACACAACAAAGGACAAAATACATGACCAATATACACCGTCACCACATTGCCCCCAAGATACACTCTATATTGCCCAAAGTATTGGTCGGCCTGCCTTTCCACACACATGACCTTTAATGGCCCCCCAGTCTTAGTCCGTAGGGTTCAATATTGAGTTGGCCCCGCCCTTTGTACCTATAACAGCTTCAACTCCTCTGGGAAGGCCGTCCACAAGGTTTAGGAGGGTGTCTATGGGAAGGTTGGACCATTCTTCCAGAAGCACATTTGTGAGGTCAGGCACTGATGTCGGGGGAGGAGGCCTGGCTCGCAGTCTCCGCTCTAATTCATCCTAAAGGTGTTCTATGGGGTTGAGGTCAGGACTCTGGGCTGGAGGATCTTGACTGACCTGCACAAACTGGCTCCTCCATGTCTTTATGGACCTTGCTTTGTGCACTGGTGTGCAGTCATGTTGGAACAGGAAGGGGCCATCCCCAAACTCTTCCCACAAAGTTGGGAGCATGAAATTGTCCAAAATGTCACCTTAAGAGTTCCCTTCGCTGGAACTAGGGGGCCAAGCCCAACCCCTGAGGAACATCCCCACCATAATCCCCCCTCCACCAAACTTTACACTTGGCACAATGCAGTCAGGCAAGTACTATTCTCCTGGCAACCACCAAACCCAGATACGTCCATCGGATTGCCAGACAGAGAAGCGTGATTGGTCACTCCAGAGATCACGTCTCCACTGCTCTAGAGCCCAGTGGCGGTGTGCTTTACACCACGGCATCCGACGCTTTGCATTGCACTTGGTGATGGAAGGCTTGGATGCAGCTGCTCAGCCATGGAAACCCATTCCATGAAGCTCTCTACGCACTGTTGTTGGGCTCATCTGAAGGTCACACCAAGTTTGGAGGTCTTTAGCTATTGACTCTGCAGACAGATGGCGACTTTGTTATAATCCCACTAAGTGGGGTTTTTTTTAGCGCAATGTGGGGGAACGCAACGTTGGCACCTCCAGCACTGAATGTATGTAATGGCAGGGGGTGCCGGGGTGTGCTGGAGAGTCTTATGATGCTGGCTGCTGGGGGATCTATTGTTGCTGGAGGGGATCTATTTTACATGATGGTCCATTGTTTCTGGGGAGGTCTGTTATTGCTGGGGGTCAATTGTTGCTGAATGGGATCTACTGTTGAGAGAGCAGTTTACTGTTGCTGGCTACTGTGTGATCTATTGTTGCTGGAGGGCATCTATTTTTGCATGGCAGTCTATTGTTGCTGGAGAGATTTATTGTTGCTGGTGGGGGGCTATTGTTGCTGCAGGGCTTATATTGTTAAGAAGGTTGCAGTTGTTGCTGAATGTATTGTTGAGGGACAGTGCAGCAATCGTGAGCACAGATATGAACGCGGACAACCATTTTGCTAAGATCCACCATCTTGTGTCATTCTCACTCCAAATCAGTCCCCCTCTCTATTTGTTGCATGGCATGTGGTCTGGTTTGGCTGAGTTCAGGAGTGCATCGGGCACAGCTGGATGCACTTCATGGCTGTAAACACAATTAGCTGGTTCCATAGTGTCTGTCAGACTCTTTCTCTGGCCTGATCATAAAGCTATAAACCCGTCAGTCACGGGACATGAAAAGCATCCTGGACTAGCAGTAAAACATACATCCCACTTGAAACCACTTTCTCATACAATTTCATAAATCCCGGCAGGAAAAAAGGTACAATAAAACAAAGCAAATATATTCAGATAGGTCAATTTAATGTGAGTCACCTGATCCCTTACACCCCTAGATAACGTCTACCCGAGAGCAGAAAGCGATATCTCCTTAACCGTCACAGGTAGATATGTCAGGATAATATGCAGAATGATCTGCTGAACGTCCAACCAGTGGATAGGATGCTACATGTACCTATGGAAGGTTATTAACCATGGTGTGTACTTGGGGAGTGATTTGGGTCACAGCCGGGGTCTCCGCCTAAACCCCCTCCCCAAATGAGGCGATTGGCCCTTGGCTTCAGCAGACACCCCCTGCTGGGGGACTAGAAAAACAGGCTGGCAGGCCTGGAGATGAAGAGATTCTCCCTTTTAACATCAAGAACCAACTTTGGGAGAAACGGTACCCTTTTGTTCTGGACCTTGAATTTGCTTAGACCAGGACTCGGGCAAGTATTCTACCTCCATAAACTTCTTTCTGTTATCTCTCTGCTATGTTAATGTTCTCTTTATTTATTTATTTATATATATATATATATATATATATATATATATATATATATATATATATATATATATATTAGCTACATCTTTTTCTGTAACTATTTTTATTGCACCATTTTGGCCTTTTTAGTAATAAATCCTATTTTCTGAAAAGTATTGAACTGTTTGTAAAGCTCTTTAAATGCAAACTAAGAATCCCTGCCTCTGAAGAGCGCTACTGTGTGTTTTTAAACTTCTGCATACATCTGCCTGTGGGGACAGTGGTATACAGACGATTATTCAAACATCATAGTGTTACTGCACCATTGTTGAGTTTCCTCTTTCTCTGTACAAAAAGGAGGTGGTGGCAGTGTGAAGGGTTAATTGCGTAATTAACCTGACTCGGTAACAATCGCTCTCAGGCTGTGGCACATAGATTATGGTCTAGTGAGCTGGAAAATCTTTGTGCAGGGTGCAGCTGGGCGTGGCATGGTTACACAAGTGACAGCGCAGTTTTAGATTGGCTAGTCCTTCGGTCACAAGTTGGTGAGAAGGGCTGGGGTCTGATGCCGCGCCCGTCACAAAGAGGTCTATTTTTTTCCCTGCTGCTTGAGAATTTATTGATTCTGGCTGCTGGGAAATCTGTTGTTGTTGCCCCGGGGTCTGTTGTTGCTGGGGGGGGGGGGGGGGGCTCTGCTGCTGGCTGCGGGGGATCTAATTTACTGCTTTTTTGTTATCATTAACAAATTCCATACAAATGACCTGACACCACAGAATGATACATGGATCTGTATTCTCTGAAAGGGGAGGTACTGAGAGATGGGTAGGGGGCGGAGACAAGAAGTGACTCAGAAGGGGGAGTTCCTGCACCTATTCTCTGTGAAAAAAAAGCCCGGCCACTGACAGCTGAGTGTGGAATATTTAGTAGCCAGGAAATGTCACGGATGGACTTATTGCACAGGTGGCCACCTATCACGGGACCACGCTTGGAGTCACTGAGCTCCTGAGAGCAACCCATTCTTTCGCCAATGTTTGTAGAAGCAGCCTGCATGCCTAGGGGCTTGATTGTATACACCTGTGTCCATGGAGGGGATTGGAGCACCTGTGACCAGTGGTGTATTTTGATTTTGTGCTGCCCTAGGCAAGACTAAAATCAAGCACCCCCCCCCCCCCCATTGAAGGTTGTCCCACCCCCTTCCTGTTTAAGATCCACCCCTTCATCTGGAATCTCCACCCCTTTCTCTTTAATCTCCATCTCTTCCTATTAGAATTCCTCCCACTGACAGCAATGATGGGGCGCTATTCCTCCCACTGACACCAGTGACGGGGCACTATTCCTCCCACTGACACCAATGACGGGGCACTATTCCTCCCACTGATACCAATGATGGGGCGCTATTCCTCCCACTGACACCAATGACGGGGCACTATTCCTCCCACTGACACCAATGACGGGCACTATTCCTCCCACTGACACCAATGACGGGGCACTATTCCTCCCACTGACACCAATGACGGGGCACTATTCCTTCCACTGACACCAATGATGGTAGTGTGACAGTGTGCTCTCTGTGTCTGTGCGATTTGATATTGCAGACACTAACCTGCTAAATAAATGAAATTCTCTGCAGAGGAATGAATCGCTGTGACCCCGCCCCTTTCCATCAGTCTCCCTTCAGGTCCGCTCAGAATTATAACCAGGAACGTGGGGCATCGGTATAAATGTTTGTGTTGTTTATTTCCAAGTCATATTTCTCAATATTAAATTGCTGCTAACAATAGTAACTGGTGATGATGGTTTGTGTTGTGAAATGTGAAAGATGAATGTTTCTGTGTAATCTCCGAGGAAGAAATAGAAAACCATTGAGAAGAATGAAGAGATTTCTCTCCTGGAGATGGATTTCTATTGTCATTAAGGAATCTGAAAAGGGCGGAACGTGGAGAAAGCTTCTAAATGAATACAATTGAATTGTGTGTAATGAATGGGTGTGACTCCGCCTCTTCCCAGGCAGGTTCCCATCAGGTCCGCTCAGGCTCTATAAAAGGAAGGCGGGCCCAGCCCAGAGCTCAGTCGGTGTTTGCAGCAGAGAGAATCGTCATGTCTGGTCGCGGTAAAGGAGGGAAGGGTCTGGGGAAAGGCGGCGCCAAGCGCCACAGGAAGGTGCTCCGGGACAACATCCAGGGCATCACCAAACCCGCCATCCGACGTTTGGCCCGCAGAGGGGGAGTCAAGCGCATCTCCGGCCTCATCTATGAGGAGACCCGCGGAGTGCTGAAAGTCTTCCTGGAGAATGTCATCCGCGATGCCGTCACCTACACCGAGCACGCCAAGAGGAAGACCGTCACCGCCATGGATGTCGTCTATGCTCTCAAACGGCAGGGACGCACTCTCTACGGATTCGGAGGATAAATCCTCACAACCCCCCCCTTCATCGTCACAAAGGCCCTTCTCAGGGCCGCCCACCTTTCTCATACAAAGGGCTATTGATTGATCATCTCCAGAGTTCTCTGCTCCTCCTGGGGGAGAGAAGGATTGCCGCTCATTCCTATCCGTCAGTGATGGGGATGATGATCTGCATAGGTTATTGCATAGTGGTGATCGGTAATCGGGATGGATCCGGTTCGGAATGCCGGATTTTGCATTGTAACGTTAGAGTAATATAAACATGTCGGTGATCGCGATGCGCTTATGTTTGTGACCGATCTGAGCCCCGAATAATGAAAGGGTTCATGGATGTTCTTACAGAGAAACCGATTTGATTCTCTAGATATGTAATATTTCCTCTATCGATTCATTGTACATATTTATCTGGCGGTGTCATGATTACCGATTTTTACAAGATATTTCAATATTCTGGATGTGATATATATGGGGGGGGGGGGGGTCTGTAATTGTTAAAAGGAAGGACATGGATCGTATACAGATCTGATAGAATCGTACGATACTTTATTTCTCATCATATAGAAAGGTAGAGATCTATGACATGTATGATGTCACTCATGTTCTGTATGTTGCGGGGGGAGGGGAATCCTGGATTCTGAGAAGACAATATATGAAAGTAATCATCAGAATCCATTTCTAGTCATTGTTTATTAGTCCGCAAACACATTGGATATAGAGGATCCTGGGGACAGAGATAACAGAACAAGGATTGACATGACTCGGTAATCCCCGACATCCATCTGTAGACATCCCTGATTAATCAATACAAACTGTCTGGAATGAAAGCGATGATATTTCTCGGATGTCTCATCTGATGATCTCCTTTGTTCTCCTGCTCGGATTTGGCGGTATAATCGGGCTGAAGGTTTCTCTGGAACGATGGATACAATTCCGGAGGCAGAATTTGAAATCTGAGCCAATCACAGCTGTGGGCGTTTGTCTCCATCAGCCAGTAATTGCATTTCTTACGAGAAGTATAAACAAGTATTCGGAGATCTCTATTCCTAGTGCAGGAAGTTCTACATCGTGTCGGGTTTTGAGTACAAATAAAACATTTCCAATGGAAGGATTGATCGATCTTCCCGGCTATAACGGTCAATGGATGCAGATCGTCTGTAACGGTCCATAGAACTCCGGCGGGAAATTGGAATGTATAGACAATTGAAGCCATGACAGATTTTTATTCAAATAAAATGTGGGAGGAAATGATCTGATCCGGAAGATTTTTGATGTCACTGAAATCCTTTTCTAATATTTTACCTTTTAGAAATTCGATGTGAAAACCGGTTATCAGCTACAAATAACCCGCCCAATCCCGGGGCGCCGAGAGATCACTTTCTCCCAGAAAGTTCAACATAGAAACCCTTCCCGGCGTCCAAACGTCTTCCTATGGAGAAGCAGAGATGACACCCGGATGTAGAGGAGACTTACTGTCCGGACGGCGGGAAGGATTTCCACCTTTTCGAATTTTCATTACAAACACGTGACAGCTTCCATCCCAGAACGTCCTTTACTAATCCGAGATCTACAGAGCAGGACGGAGGGAAGAAGTCGCCGACTTTCCTCCTCCCTCCCCCCCCCCCCCCAGACCCCGAGAATCCCATAGAAGCGGGAGATAGAGAGGAGTGTGGGATTGGTGTCCATAGAAGCCGTATGTCCGCCCTTTGTATGGAGATGTGGGGGGCTCTGAGAAGAGCCGTTGTGTTGGCGGATAGAAGGGAATCCTGTGGGGGGATTACTTGCTCTTGGCGGCCTTGTGGCTCTCGGTCTTCTTGGGCAGCAGCACGGCCTGGATGTTGGGCAGGACTCCTCCCCTGGGCGATGGTGACGCCGCCCAGCAGCTTGTTGAGCTCCTCGTCGTTGCGGACAGCCAGCTGCAGGTGTCGGGGGATTGATGCGGGTCTTCTTGTTGTCTCGGGGCGGCGTTGCCGGCCAGCTCCAGGATCTCTTCAGCCGTCAGATACTCCAGGACGGCGGCCAGATAGACGGGAGCTCCGGCCCCGACCCGCTCGGCATAGTTTGCCCTTTCCGGAGCAGACGGTGAACACGACCGACGGGGAACTGCAGACCAGCCCGGGACGATCGGGTCTTGGCCTTAGCCCGAGTCTTGCCTCCTTGTTTGCCGCGACCAGACATGATTGGATGACTGACGAATCACACACAGATAGGCCCCAGCAGCCGCTTCCTCTCCTTTATACACTCCATGCTCTGACGTCACACGCTGCGATTCGTTGCTTTTGAATTCAACAAACAGCGGTCAGACTTGTTTCTACACCAATCTGCACACGAGGATAGACAGCATGACGTCACTTTCCATCACATGTCAACGTCCTCCAATAGGAAGTTTGAGGCAGTACGAAACTCCTTTGCATAGGCCGCCTATAAAAGCAGCACATGAGGGCGGCTCCAGCATACTTTCCCCGCAGCCAGCCAAGCAGTGGTGAACCCTGATCATGCCTGAACCAGCCAAGTCTGCGCCGGCGCCCAGAAGGGCTCCAAGAAAGCCGTGACTAAGACCCAGAAGAAGGACGGCAAGAAGCGGAGGAAGACAGGAAGGAGAGTTATGCCATCTACGTGTACAAGGTGCTCAAGCAGGTCCACCCCGACACCGGCATCTCGTCCAAGGCCATGAGCATCATGAACTCCTTCGTCAATGACATCTTCGAGCGCATCGCCGGCGAAGCTTCCCGCCTGGCTCATTACAACAAGCGCTCCACCATCACCCTCCCGGGAGATCCAGACCGCCGTCCGCCTCCTCCTGCCCGGAGAGCTGGCCAAGCACGCCGTCTCCGAGGGCACCAAGGCCGTCACCAAGTACACCAGCGCCAAGTAAATAAATCCCCCCGCCCCCGGGGCCCCCATCATCCCAACAAGGACACAAAGGCTCTTCTAAGAGCCGCCCACCATTCCAATCACTGAGCTGTCATCACATTGTATTGCCGCTAGAGGTCCCACACACGTCACACTTACACGGGGTTTCTAGACTCTTCTCGCTATCAGAATACCAGCCAGCCTTCCAGATCCCATTTATTGTGGAATTCCTGATTGTTCCATTTGGAGGATTTCATTTGTACAGAATATTGTCTTCTAGTGGATCCAGAAACAACCCGCATTGTAGATCTTCCCCGATCCCCGGACAGAAGGCAGAGATTTGTCCCCATTAGCTATCAGCGTTCCGTTCTTTCACAAATGTTCGTGAAGCGGTCTGCATGCCTCGGGGCTTGATGGGAATCCCCCTTTACTTTGTCATCTAATTTACTGAATTATCGACAGAAATAGTCCTCTCTCGGGTTTACAATTCTTACATTGATAAGTTCTAATTTTTATTTAAAACATCTTTCTTATCAATGTTTTCCATCTGGCAGTAAGGAGCTCCCAGAGAGATCGGGATATTCTATTAACAGAGATACCTGCAGATCTTGGCGGGAAATTAAAAAAAAAAAACATTCTTAAAATATAAGACACAAAATGTTTGTTACAAATAAACTCCTAACTGTAAAATGAATGGGATGAATTGCTGCAGACTAGATGTCCGCCTCCTCACATCCTCAGCGATAGATTGTCATTGTGCCATCAAAGTCCACACTGTCCTCGCCGGGATCGGATTGTCCTTGGAAGTGGGATTCGGAGAGAAAAGGCAGAAATCACATTGTATCTCCTCCCAGATCCGCACACAAGTCATGTCTCTTGTCATCTCGCTCTTCTATAGACAATACATTGCAGCCCTTCTGACTGTCCCTGTTAGTCCACAATTGTGCTGGATGGACCGAGATGGGCGACAAACGTTCTGCTTCTTAGTCCCTAACAGAGGAATCATCGGATCCGTGAGATCGGAGGAGGATCTTCTGTCATCCCATTCACTGTATTATGGAGGAATCCAGTCCGATGTCAATGGATGTAATTGTTACATTGTACAGGGAGTCTCTGATCTCTGATTATTAGCAGATCTCTGATTAATCTTCTCTTCTTTGGTAGTAAGGAGAGCTCCGAGCATTGTATGATGTGGAGGAACTCCCCTCCCCCACCCCTGACACAGCGGGCTTCTCTACCTACAGAGATCACGTTGCAGATCCTGGCGGGCATTTTGAACATCCCGCTCTTTTTATGTAACCCAATCATTAGAAGGGGCGTGGCGTAGTTCTCCAATCAGAGGGCAGGGATGTGTATAAATAGCTGTGCAGAGCGGCTTCAGTTCCCATTCCCAGCACAGATCTGAGAAGTAATGGCTCGTACCAAGCAGACCGCCCGTAAGTCCACCGGAGGGAAAGCTCCCCGCAAGCAGCTGGCCACCAAAGCCGCCCGCAAGAGCGCCCCGGCCACCGGCGGAGTGAAGAAGCCTCACCGCTACAGGCCCGGCACCGTGGCTCTCCGAGAGATCCGCCGCTACCAGAAATCCACCGAGCTGCTCATCCGCAAGCTGCCCTTCCAGCGCCTCGTCCGAGAGATCGCCCAGGACTTCAAGACCGACCTGCGCTTCCAGAGCTCCGCCGTCATGGCTCTGCAGGAGGCCGCAGAGGCTTATCTCGTCGGACTCTTCGAGGACACCAACCTCTGCGCCATCCACGCCAAGAGGGTCACCATCATGCCCAAAGACATCCAGCTGGCACGCCGCATCCGCGGAGAGAGGGCCTAGACCCCCCGCAACAGACATTCCACACAACCCGCCAACCAACGGCTCTTCTCAGAGCCACAACCTCCCCCCCACACAGAGCTCTGTACACTTCCCGCCTTTCAATGGCGCCTACAATAGACAGGAATCTGGAGTATTACAATCAGGTAAGGAATCGGGCAAACCGTTTACACAACGCAGCGCCGTCTGCATGGGGGGGATTTTTTTCCTTCCAAACCGCTCATAACCAGTTTCGAATGATCCCCCTCCACACCGGGTTTCTGTCTCGGCTAATGTGAACTCAAATGTAACCAGCGCACACATGATATCAAGGAAATCCTGTGCAGGGGCCCCATGTCCTTATCAATGACGTCATGGGTGGTTCTGTTACCAGCAGCTAGTAAATTGGGGTAAATGCTGCTGCCTCATCTACACCTTAAACTGTCTCCCTGCAATGCATTGACTTTCTGCAAATCTCAGGATAATTCACAATATTTACAATATTTAGTTCCTGTAGCTCTAATCAGAGGGGCATCTACTTCTCTACAACATATCCCTGGTCTATATCTATTTGTGGTGATTGATTCTCACCTCAGTTGCCTTTTCTGTGATCAGAGAATCAATCCATCGTTTGACTTTGGCCTGTCTGGTCTGGATTATATAATCCTCTCCCCAAAAAAATTACTGTGATCCTTATCAATTCCTAATTGGGGCGGAGAAGAGTTTGTTCATCTCTCTATAAATTTAGACCAGTTTATGGGGGAAGTCACAGATGGCTCTGTCCTATGAGGGCATTTTCAGTTGAACACAACAGGATAACTCAAGCAGCAGGAAGAACTCTACTGCACACTGGATGGGCTGCAGGCAGACACCCTGGGAAACGATACAAGTCTGATTCCCACTCCATGTACCTGTTAAATATGCCACCTCTACTCCTCATATTACTATCCTTTGCTCTCAAAATCTCCTTCATTTATCCCTCTTCTCCACCTCAATTTATACATCTCCCCCTCACTGCTACCATCTCCCTACTACTGCTCTCATCTCCTCCTCTTGTAAAGCGCTGATACTTTACTCACCAGCTGACCCAAACACCAGGACAGGAAGGCATGTGCCCTCATATACATCCGGCTCCCAACTTACTTTCCTCACCCTGCTTCTCCTAACCTCTGGGGATACGTCCCCGGCCCTGGTCCTCCAGTATCTCACCCCCACACAAGCACCCTCCTTCCTCCAGAAATTGCTGCAATCCACTCCATTTAATCTCAATCCCCATGCTCTAGAAACCACCCTTTTTTCATGCGCGCTCTGGAATGCCCGCTCTGTCTGTAATAAACTCACCTCTGTCCATGACCTTTGTGTCTCCAAATCCCTTAACCTACAAGCAAGTACAGAAACCTGACTTCAAGCAGCAGATTCTGCTTCTCCAGCAGCACTTTCCTATGGAGGCCTTCTCTGAGCTCACTCACCCAGACCCAGTGGTCGGAAAGATGGTGGAGTTAATTTGCTTCAATCCCCACTGAGCACCTTTCAAGTCCTCCGTAATCCTCCCTCTCTATGCTTCTCTATGCCACACAGAGCTCTACACTACCGAACTACAATGACTACAACACCCGGGAACAGGCTTCTGTTGTCGGGGAAATCTCGGCACTTCCTCCTCTCAGCCCCCCCGGGACCGCCATTCCTTTACTGGTTTTATTCATTTTTAATACTCTCATAACTAGTCCTGGAATGTGAGACATACAATGAGATCCATCCGAATGGGCCCCTTCCACACGGAGATGTCACTGGGGGGTCAGTCATGTCCTCTATTACCGCCTCCGATACTACATCGGCGTCATCACAGATCACATCTCTCTGCCGGGGCGGCACACACGGACACACCCGGGAGGATTCTTCCTTCTGCTCTCCGTGTGCCGCCCCGGCCGGTTTTCTATAGAAAATATAATTCGGGCCTGTGACATGTATCGGGAGGGATCTCTCCTTTGGCCAACCAGTAATCATTTGTAGGATCGGAGGAATCATTGGATGAACTATAAGGTACAAGTGTACAATGTGAGGAGGATGGAGACTGGAGGAGGGAGAATGCGGCTCGTGGTCGGTGTATGTGTGTATGGAGAGCTCTGTTGGGGGGAGGTGGGGGGCTCTGAGAAGAGCCTTTGGGGGGTGGAGATGAAGGAGGTCGCCGCCCATTATTTCTTCTTCGGAGCGGCCTTCTTGGGCTTTAGCCGCCTTCTTAGCTGCCGGCTTGGCCTTAGCGGGACTCTTGGCGCCTTTTTTCGGCTTGGCTGCAGCTTTGCTCTTCTTGGGGCTCTTGGTCACCTTCTTGGCTGCAGCTGCAGCCTTTGCTGGTCTCTTGGCGGCCGGCTTCTTCTTGGGGCTCTTGGCTGCGGTGGGGGCTTTGCTGGCCGCCTTCTTCTTGGGGGACTTGGCGGCCGGTTTCTTGGGGCTCTTGGCTGCTGTGGGGGCTTTGCCGGGCTCGCCTTCTTCTTAGGGGACTTGGCGGCCTTCTTAGTTGCCGGTTTCTTGGGCTTCGCCTTGGCGCCGTCGGGCTGCTTCTTGTTGATCTTGAACGATCCGGAGGCCCCATGGCCTTTGACCTGGACGAGGCTCCCCTTAGTCACCAGCGCCTTGAGGGCGATCTTCAGGCGGCTCTTGTTCTTGTCCACATCGTATCCTCCGGCGGACAGGACCTTCTTGAGGGCGGCCAGGGACACCCCGCTGCGCTCCTTGGAAGCGGACACGGCTTGGACGAGGAGCTCGGACACGGCGGGACCGGACGCCTTCTTGATGCCTTTCTTGGCTCCTCCTCCGGCTGACGCCTTCTTAGCCGGCTTCTTCTTGGCGGCGGCCTCCGCTGGAGGAGCGGCGGCTGGGGCGCTCTCAGTCTCCGTCATGACTCGGGAAATGTTTCCACAATAGTTCATTACAAATCACACGGCGCTCCGCCTTATATACAGACCTTCTAACACTGCGATTGGTTGACACACAACTCGACTCTGTCCTGCTATTGGTTACACATCAGACACGCCCACTGGCTGTCTCTCCAGTGTTGGAGTATATTCTCTCCCTTCATGTGTTTCCCGGTAGATATAAAACCGATTTTATTCCGAAATAGTCCAGGAGGAGATCGGCTCCCCGGTGCACATCGGACACCGTTCTGTCACTTATCGGGGGTCACTTCCAGCTGTCAGGAGCTGCTCACGAGGCTGAACACAGAGGCTGCAAACACAACCATCCTCCGGAGTGGGGGGCCCATTCTGCCTTCTACCTGCTTGGGGGGACACATTCTACCCACAAAACAATCTGCTCCCATCCCCCACTACAATCCGCTTCACATTACACGAGGGAAGAGGGGAGATCGCCAAACATTTCCCTCTAATACACAACTCGGCTCATCTCTAGCTGACTACAAGGAGCCGGGAACAAAAACATCGGCCGATCACAGGAGATCCTTGTGTCCTGTCATGGCAGACATTGGGACGGATACAAAGGGCTCCGCCCATTACAGGGTGTCAGGTGTCATGACCTAGGGTCATTATTGGCTCATCACATTTGGATTCCCTGAGATCATTTCAGGAATAGGAAGTTTGCTGCAAATCCCATTCTTGTCTATCATGTGGGGAATGTGGAGAGGAAATGTCGGCTATTTGGGGGGGAATGAGCGGCGGGGTTCCTCTAAGACCAACACATGTCTACTGACCCTGACACTTCTTTTCTTTGTACAGTTGCTACAATGATTCTAATCCGGATACAATCACCTCCCCAGATAAGGCGTGGCCCAGGGCCCTAGAAGTGACAGGGAAGACATGTCCCCCCCCCCCCCCCCTCGCCAATACCTAAAATACCTTTTTTTTGTTTTTTTCATGTGGCATTGAGGGCAAAAATGAAAGTGTACAAAGTATGTGAAGTACACAAAAAAAAAAAAGAAAACAGGCACAAAACAAACAAAAAAAAAAAAACTTCTGTTTCGAAAAAAAAGGATGCAGCGTTTTTTTTTTTCTGCTCTCTCTGCGCTCCATCTTCGGTCTTTGTCCTGTTTAGTGTTATCAAGTAGAGTGAAAGTAAAGGAATATTGCCAAATGTTGAGTTGTCACCAGAATATGACCAGAAAGAGTTAAATACATCACCTGGGAGACTTCACCCCTTTGATGAATATGTCAGCTGTCATGCAACGCTCTCCCCCCCCCCCCCCCCCAAGAGCAACCGCTCCTCTCTCCCCCCCAAGAGCACCGCTCCTCTCTAGCCGAGACGGGCTAACCTGCATATTGGGGGGGATGGGAGATTGGCTGCAATGCTCAACACTCCCATTAGGTGTCACTATATATTTTACACTAGGAAGGATTTTGTTGTTACTTTAAATATGTTTATCTTTTCTGCTCTGCTTGATACATTGTTGCAATCCATCAACATTCGATTCCCCCAGAGATCATGTCAGTAATGAGACCTTTGCTGGAAATCCTAACATTATCTCCCATGTGGTGGATCGGGGTGTCCCTCTTTTGCTCAGACCAAGAAGAAGGGAATAGTATTATTAATATTATCTGATGATGATTGTGATTATTATTCAGGATTTATATAGAGCCAACCCTTTGTGCAGTGCTGTAAAACATATAAATGGAGACAATACAGCAACAATACAATTCAATACTTCAACGCTCCTTCAGCGTTACCTATAACACTACCACCTCCCCCTCACTCCCCCCCTCTCTGTTGGGGTCCCTCAGGGCTCTGTCCTCGGGCCCCTTCTCCTCTCCATCTACACCTCCTCCCTTGGCCAACTCATACACTCTCACGGCTTCAACTACCACCTCTATGCTGACGACACGCAATTCTATCTCTCGACCCCCCACCTCACCCCCTCAGTCTCCGCCCAAATCACAAGCCTACTGAAAGACATATCAGACTGGATGTCGCTCCACTTCCTTAAACTGAACCTCTCCAAAACCGAGCTCCTAGTCTTCCCCCCAGCCTGCGCACCGCCCAACCCCCCCCCCCCCTGACTGCTCCATCACGTCCAACAATGCCACCATCAAGCCCGCCCCGCAAGCCAGAGTACTAGATGTCATTCTCGAGTTCAATCTATCCTTCCTGCTCCAAGTCCATTCACTAACAAACTCGTGCAGACTCCACCTCCGCAACATCGCCAAAATCCGCACGTTCCTAACCCCAGAAACCACTAAACAGCTCATCCACTCCCTCATCATATCACGACTGGACTACTGCAACTCCCTCCTCACTGGCCTGCCTCGCCGTTGGCTATCCCTGCTTCAGTCCATCCTGAATACAGCAGCCAGACTCATCCACCTTACCAACTGCTCCGTTTCCGCCACCGCCACCCCCTCCTGCCAATCCCCCTCCACTGGCTTCCACTCAGTGTCCTCCACCCCCCTCTACCAATCCCTCCACTGGCTTCAGATTGCCCAACGGATCAAATTCAAAATCCTAACACTGACGTACAAAGCCGTCCACCATACTGCCCCGAACTACATCACCGACCTAATATCCAAGTACCACCCAGCACGCACACTCCGCTCCTCACAAGACCTCCTTCTCTCCAGTCTAGTTCCCTGGTCTCCATCCCCCATACCTGCCTCCAGGACTTCTCCAGAGCGTCACTCATACTCTGGAACTCCCTATCCCAATCCATCAGACTATCAACTACTCTCCTCTCGTTTAGGCACACCCTGAAAACCCATCTCTTCAGGGAAGCCTACCCCGCCCCCTGCTAATTGCAGACCTCCTCCACTCTTCCTACCATCCCATCCCCCACAGCTATCTCCTCCTGTGCCACCATCCCCTCCCTCCTAGATTGTAACAAGGGCCTCTTTCACAGAACCCTGGCCCTGTGGTTATGGGGGTTTGCAGAAGGCAGGCAGGCAGGCTCATTAGCATCTTTAATTGAACACAAAACAACAGTTTTTGAAAACTCTTTTAATACCCACCGCCGTATAACAGATATACTGCTACATGGCGGTACAGGTGCGCAAAATTATGTAAATATACTTTTTTTTTTATGCATTTCCGGGTGGGGGGGGGGGCGCATGAGGCGTGTGACCGCCCTACCCACTCCCCTGATCGCAGCCCCGGGCGTCAATCACCTGCCTTGTTTACCACTCCTCCCTGTCAGCTTGGGCACACTTCTCTGGATGGCTGAGCAGTGCCATCCAGAGAAGTGTGCTTTTACAGTGAAGCCTGCCACTTAGAAAGAAAAAAAAAAATCACCTAGCACACAGTTAACCCTTTGATTGCCCCCAAATGTTAACCCCTTCCTGTCCAGTGCCATTAGTACAGTGTCAGTGGGTTTTTTTTTAGCACTGATCTCTGTATTGGTGTCATTGGGGATGTCATTGACACCAAGTCAGTTCCCCCCAGTGTTAGAATGTTCACCGCAGTACCGCTATATGTCACTGATTACCGACATTATTATTAAATAAAAAAACAAAAAAATTCCAGTATCTACACAGCCATTTGTAAATGCTATAACTTTCACGTAAAACAATTAATTTACATGTATTGGGACTTTTTTTTTAGCAAAGACATGTCACAGAATACATTTTGGCCTACATTGATGACAAAATTTTATTTAAATTTTTTTATTTTACTGGACATGTTGAATCGCTTCTAAGCAACCCTATAGTAGAAATGCCTCATAAATCACCTTAACCAAAAATTTGCAGATGTCTATACTCCCCAGCAAAACATCTACATTGATGAGTCCCTCATTAATTTTGTCTGGCCGCCTTGCATTCAAACAATTTCTCCCCAGCAAGCGTGCCAGATATGGGGCCAAGATGTAGAGGACCTGTGAGAGAGCAACAGGATATAGCTATAAGTTTTAGATTTACGAGGGAAAAGATCACATGGAGGCCCCCCGTATGCCCAGACTACATGGAGAGCAGTGGCAAGATAGTTTGGGACTTGGTGTCATCCTTTTTCCATGTGGGGAACCACTTATACGTGGACAATTTTTATTTAAACGTGCCACTATTTAGACATTTGTACAACCTTGGACCAGCAACGTACTGGTACATCACTGGACTTTGAATGGTTATACCAGGATGATGCCTGCAGCTGCATGAAATTGTCCAAAATGTCTTGGTATGCTGACGACTTAAAAGTAACACTGGAACTAGGGGGCCAGGCCCAACCCCTGAAAAACAACACCCCACCATAATACCCCCTCCACCAAACATTAAACTTTGCACAATGCAGTCAGGAAAGCACCGTTCTCCTGGTTACTTCCAAACCCAGAGACGTCTAACAGATAACCACACAGAGAAGCATGATTGGACACTCCAGAGAACACATCTTCACTGCTCTAGAGTCCAGTGGCGGCATGCTTTACACCACTGCATCTGACAAAAGCATTGCACTTGGTGATGGAAGGCTGGGATGCAGCTGCTCGGCCATGGAAACCCATTCCATGGAGCTCTCTATGTACAGTTGTTGTACTAATCTGAAAGCCACACCAAGTTTGGAGGTCTTTAGCTATTGACTTTGCAGACAGTTGGCGACTTCTGAGCACTGTGCGCTTCAGCATGCGCTGACCCCACCCTGTCATGTGACATGGCATGAAGCGATACCTAGACCCTACAGAGGTTGCACAGGCAGTCCAACTCCTCCAGGATGGCACATCAATACGTGTCAATGAAGAAAAGCCTGCATTTTTTCTTAAAAATGCTCCATCAGCACTAGGACTCAAGAAACCTCCTATAAATTGTTAACAAGATGTTATGCTACATCGGGTAGGTTAAAGAGGTGCTTCCCCCAGACGTCAGGCCTATGTTGTTGCTGTGAATCAGCCGAGGGCTCCCTGTTAGATATTTGGTGGCAATGCCCAAGGCTTATGCCATTGTGGGACAACATTCTCGGTTGACATACTCTATTACTGAGACTGCATTAAACTTAACCCCCAAATGTTGTCTTCTCCATATCTCTGAGTGTTCTTTGAAGTACAAGCAATCTTTGGTATGGCACCTTTTGAATGTGGCCAAGAACCTAATCCCCAGGCATTGGAAGACCTCTCAGACCCCATCGATTCTGACTGGATAAGAGAGGTTAACCTCATTCAGGAGTTGGAAAGGACATTGACTATGACCGATGACATGGTTGCCAGATTCCACAAACTATGGTCCAATTGGTATGCTTTCACTTTCTCAGAAACATATAGAGGGCTAATGGGTGATTAACACTTTTCAAGGTGCGTATCATGCTGGTGGATACTTGACTCCGCTTGCGGAATTAGATCTGTTCTTATGACTGCTGTTCTCTTTCTTTCTCTGCCAAATCTCCTTCCTCTATTCATGCACGTTATTATGTCAGATTTGAGGTTTGTACTTGCAATTTATAAACGTTTAAATCTGTGAATTCCTCAGGTAGAACAATGATCTGATTGTATCCACACACAATACACCCCTAATCCCCATGTATAAAAAATAACTATTCTCATATTTTTGATCAGAAATAGATCAAAATATATCCCTAGAAATGTTAAAAAGAAACAATATTCCACCCATAATCCCCATGTTGAAAAAAAAGCTATTCTCATACTCTTATCAGAACGGGGTCAAATGTGTTCCTAAAATATATTACACTCATAATCCGAATATAGAAAAATAACTATACTCATATTCTTAGGAGAAAATTCAAATATGCTCCATGAAGTGTGTATCTGCAATCATTCATCCCATGATACCCATGTTGAAAAACAATAGTATTCTCATATTATGAAAAAGGTCAAATGCATGTTTACCATGATATCCCCCCATAATCCCAGATATAAAAGCAATGTTAGCCATATATTTAAAAAGGTGAAATGTAATGTGTATGGGATGTGTGACCATTATATTCCTCCCATAATCCCCATGCAGATCCATAATAACCACATTATCAGAAATGCATTAATTTTTTTGCTTGGCATTTGTACTTTGTAATCTTTATAAAGTTTTAGTAAAACGGTTTGCAATGTAGTGTTTTTCCACATCTCGTACTATATGAAATCAGTAAAATCTATTCCTGGTAATATATGGAGTAATGTTTCCATGATTTCTGTATAATTTCCTATGATGCCATGTTACAGCCGCACATATATCAGTCAGTGAAGAGTTAAACATTCGCCTCTACTACGTGTAACAATGTATCAAGCAGAGCAGAAAAGAGAAACAAGAAAATCCTTCCCGTCTATGTGTGTAATATAGTGACACCTAATGGGAGTGTTGAGCATTGCAGCCAATCCTCCCATCCCCCCAAATGTGCAGGTTAGTCCGTCCCTAGAACGAATGTCCAGTGTAAGTGTGACGTGTGTGGACCTCTAGCGGCAATACAATGTGATGACAGCTCAGTGATTGGAATGGTGGGCGGCTCTTAGAAGAGCCTTTGTGTCCTTGTTGGGATGATGGGGCCCCGGGGGCGGGGGGATTACTTGGCGCTGGTGTACTTGGTGACGGCCTTGGTGCCCTCGGAGACGGCGTGCTTGGCCAGCTCTCCGGGCAGGAGGAGGCGGACGGCGGTCTGGATCTCCCGGGGGAGGTGATGGTGGAGCGCTTGTTGTAATGAGCCAGGCGGGAAGCTTCGCCGGCGATGCGCTCGAAGATGTCATTGACGAAGGAGTTCATGATGCTCATGGCCTTGGACGAGATGCCGGTGTCGGGGTGGACCTGCTTGAGCACCTTGTACACGTAGATGGCATAACTCTCCTTCCTAGTCTTCCTCCGCTTCTTGCCGTCCTTCTTCTGGGTCTTGGTCACGGGCTTTCTTGGAGCCCTTCTTGGCCGCCGGCGCAGACTTGGCTGGTTTCAGGCATGATCAGGGTTCACCACTGCTTGGTTGGCTGCGGAGAAAGTGTGCTGGAGCCGCCCTCATGTGCTGCTTTTATAGGCGGCCTATGCAAAGGAGTTTCGTACTGCCTCAAACTTCCTATTGGAGGACGTTGCCATGAGATGGAAAGTGACGTCATGCTGTCTATCCTCGTGTGCAGATTGGTGTAGAAACAAGTCTGACCGCTGTTTGTTGAATTCAAAAGCAACCAATCGCAGCGTGTGACGTCAGAGCATGGAGTGTATAAAGGAGAGGAAGCGGCTGCTGGGGCCTATCTGTGTGTGATTCGTCAGTCATCCAATCATGTCTGGTCGCGGCAAACAAGGAGGCAAGGCTCGGCTAAGGCCAAGACCCGATCGTCCCGGGCTGGTCTGCAGTTCCCCGTCGGTCGTGTTCACCGTCTGCTCCGGAAGGGCAACTATGCCGAGCGGGTCGGGGCCGGAGCTCCCGTCTATCTGGCCGCCGTCCTGGAGTATCTGACGGCTGAGATCCTGGAGCTGGCCGGCAACGCCGCCCGAGACAACAAGAAGACCCGCATCATCCCCCGACACCTGCAGCTGGCTGTCCGCAACGACGAGGAGCTCAACAAGCTGCTGGGCGGCGTCACCATCGCCCAGGGAGGAGTCCTGCCCAACATCCAGGCCGTGCTGCTGCCCAAGAAGACCGAGAGCCACAAGGCCGCCAAGAGCAAGTAATTCCCCCCACAGGATTCCCTTCTATCCGCCAACACAACGGCTCTTCTCAGAGCCCCCCACATCTCCATACAAAGGGCGGACATACGGCTTCTATGGACACCCAATCCCACACTCCTCTCTATCTCCCGCTTCTATGGGATGGACTCTCGGGGAGGAGAAGTCGGAGATCCTTTTGCTTATGTTGTCGCAAGATAAAATACCGGCTTTTATTTATAAATATAAATTTACGGTACAAAACGTCATAAGCTATTTTTTTATAGGTATAAAACATAATGGAAAATGCTTTCAGTGTGAGACTCTGGGGAAATGACATCTTTATTCCAGGGACGGATCTTATCCGCCTTCCTTTAGTTGTGATGAGTTTCTCCTGAAGATCAGAGATCGTTCAATATATATACCGAACAACGATCCTCCCGACTGACTGAGGGAACAGATCTCATCACCTCCTTCACACTCCACGTAGAAAAAAAGAGGTTTTACTGTCTGAAGGAAACGTCTATAACGGTCATTGGGATCAACTTTCTAATCGCTTCATTCAAATCTCCAAATATGAAATGTTTTATTTTTCACTCCAATTCCTCATAATACAAATCCCGACAAAAATGGAGTTTTTCGTTTGTTGATTTTTTTCTTAGAGAAGAGATCAATCAAGTCTATATATTCAATCCATACCGAACAACGATCCTCCCGACTGAGGGAACAGATCTCTTCAAACTCCCGAGTAGAGAAAACGTTTTATCTGAAGGAATCGCCTTTTATCTGAAGGTGAATTGGCTCCTCCACTTTCTACTTCATCTTTCCCGCCGGAATTCTATGGACCGTTAGACAATCTGCATCCATTGACCGTTTTATCCGGGAAGATCGATCAATCCTTCCATACATTCCAGGCTCTGCGAATTCCGGAACATCAAGTCCATTGCAATTAGAGATGAGCGAATCGAAGTAGCCGAAGTGGAATTCGAGTCGAATATCGAAAAAATTTTGATTCGCGCCGAATCCGAAAAATAGCCTACTTCGGACGCGCAAATCGAAATTTTTCCGAAAATGGCAGCTGACATATGCGGCGACGGAGCGGGGATGTCTGGGAAGGCGCGCAGACAAGGCGCGCTGACCCATAATGCATTCCTCAACGACATGTGATCGCATCAGCCAATCAGCAGCCAGCCAGCCAGCACTGTGTAATGGTCGAGCTATAAATAGCGGCCATTTTGGAATTCTTCATTTGCCTGCAGTCATTGAACAGAGGCAGACCGCTCTGTACTAGGGACAGGGACAGAGTTAGGGCCACAGAAACGATACTTGGGGACAGAGAAACGTTACTTAGGGACAGAAAACCATTACTCAGGGACACAGAATTGTTACTTAGGGCCAAAGAAACGCTAGTTAGGGCCACAGAATTCTTACTCAGAGACAGACAGAATTGTTACTGAGTGCCAGAGAATTGTTACTTATGGGCCACAGAAACGTTATTAGGGCCACAGAATTGTTACTCAGGGACAGACAGAATTGTTACTGAGTGCCAGAGAATTGTTACTTAGGGCCACAGAAACTTTAGTTAGGGCCACAGAATTGTTACTCAGGGACAGACACAGAATTGTTACTGAGGGCCACAGAACTGTTACTTAGGGCCACAGAAACTTTAGTTAGGGCCACATAATTGTTACTCAGGGACAGACACAGAATTGTTACTGAGGGCCACAGAACTGTTACTTAGGGCCACAGAATTGTTACTCACAGAATTGTTACACAGACACAGAAATTGTTACTGAGGGCCACAGAACTGTTACTTAGGGCCACAGAATTGTTACTTTAGACTCGCAGACAGACACAGAATTGTTACACAGGGACAGACACAGAATTGTTACTGAGGGCCACAGAACCGTTACTATAGGGCCACAGAATTGTTACTGAGGGCCACAGAAACTGTTACTTAGGGCCACAGAATTGTTACTCAGGGACTCGCACTGACACAGTAACAATTCTGTGTCCCTGAGTAACAATTCTGTGTCAGTGCGAGTAACAATTCTGTGGCCCTAAGTAACAGTTTTGTGGAGGCCTCAGAAATTGTTACAATTCAGTGTCCCTGAGTAACAATTGTTGTACTGAGGGCCACAGAACTGTTACTTAGGGCCACAGAATTGTTACTCGCACAGACACAGAATTGTTACTCAGGGACCAGCACAGAATTGTTTACTGAGGGCCACAGAACTGTTACTTAGGGCCACAGAATTGTTACTACACGCACAGACACAGAAATTGTTACACAGGGGCACATAATTGTTACTGAGGGCCACAGAACCGTTATCTTAGGGCCACGAATTGTTAGGGACACAGAATTGTTACTGAGGGCCACAGAACTGTTACTACTAGGGCCACAGAATTGTTACTAGCACAGACACAGAATTGTTACTCAGGGACACAGAAATTGTTACTGAGGGCCACAGAACTGTTACTTAGGGCCACAGAATTGTTACTCGCACAGACACAGAATTGTTACACACTTAGGGCCACAGAATTGTTTACTGAGGGCCACAGAACCGTTACTTAGGGCCACAGAATTGTTTACTGAGGGCCACAGAACTGTTTACTTAGGGCCACAGAATTGTTACTCAGGGACACAGAATGTTACTGAGGGCCACAGAACTGTTACTTAGGGCCACAGAATTGTTACTCGCACAGACACAGAATTGTTACTCAGGGACACACAATTGTTACTGAGGGCCACAGAACTGTTACTTAGGGCCACAGAATTGTTACTCGCACACAGACACAGAATTGTTACACAGGGACACAGAATTGTTACTGAGGGCCACAGAACCGTTACTTAGGGCCACATAATTGTTACTCAGGGACACAGAATTGTTACTGAGGGGCCACAGAACTGTTACTTAGTGGCCACAGAATTGTTACACGCACAGACAGACACAGAATTGTTACTCAGGGACACAGAAATGTTACTGAGGGCCACAGAACTGTTACTTAGGGCCACAGAATTGTTACTACTGCACAGACACAGATAATTGTTACTCAGGGACACAGAATTGTTACTGAGGGCCACAGAACCGTTACTTAGGGATCATAGAATTGTTACTACTCGCACAGACACAGAATTGTTACAGGACAGGGACACAGAATTGTTTACTGAGGGCCACAGAAACCGTTTACTCAGGGACACAGAATTGTTACTGAGGGCCACAGAACTGTTACTTAGGGGACCACAGAATTGTTTCACTCATACGGGACACACAGAATTGTTTACTCAGGGACACACATAATCGTTTGAATTAAAGAGTATGTCAGACAACATGCAGAGGAGTGGCAGAGGAGGCAATGTTTTAGGAGCGAGCAGACGTGGCAGCAGAGGAAGGGGTCGAGGCAGCACTAGTCGCAGCCAGAGGCCAGTGCTCCCGGTGTCATCCCAGCGGTCGTGTCTCCCACCGACAACCCTGCCGTCATCGATTGGTTGGCTCGGTCGTCTTCCTCTTCCCAGGTCACCTCTGACACCTACAGCCAACGGTCGGTGGGTACGTCAGACACAACCGTTAGTTGGCATGGCCCGGGAGCCCCCACTGAAATCACGTGTCCTCTACCTGCCCCTGTCCTTTGCTGTTCCCTCACCAAGCGAAGTATCGCATGCTGTGGGCTCAGCCCCACTGTACAGTGAGGAAGAGCTAACAGAGGGCGGTCAGGAACGGGGGGAGACATCCGCCTTTTCAGCAGCCAGGCAAAAGTACTGGCGAGGAGAGTGGCTCGGTAGCCGGTCTAGAGACAGGTCTGTCTCCTGACCCACAGACACGCAGCCGAGGGGCTAGTAGTGAGGACGGAGACCCTACTTGATGATGATGAGAGGTTGATCGCACTTGGCAGCCTCGTCGTCATCAAGGCTAATTTCTTCCGCATCATCAGGAGAAGAGGGTGCCAGCTTGGCAGCGAGCGAAACAGTCGGTGGTTGCCCAGGAGGCAGCAGGGTCGCAGCAGTGTCAGTGGAGGCAAAACGGCCACACGGAGTAGAGCACCAGCTCCACTGCAGCCTACCACCACGGCCAGTAGTGGTGCCGGTGTGCACGGAGGAAGTAGCAGTCAGCCAGTGAGGAGTAGCGGGGGCAAAGTTTCCTACTCGGGTGTGTGGCAATTTTTTCGTCAAGCCGCCCGAGGAAGTAAACGTAGCCGTATGTCGACTAATGTGGCCAGAAATGTCAAGCGTGGCCAGGGGGCCCATGTTGGGACTACAGCGTTGCGTCAGCATATGCAGCGTCGCCATTTCGGTGGCCTGGGAAAACCGT